TAATAATAACTGAATAGTGAATAAATTGAGAAAAAACATTCTAACTGTTGATGTTTCTTTACATATTTTGTAACATTGTGGATTTGCAAAAGGAGGTCCCCATCCAAAAGCTAATGCTGTTTGGGGGGGCCTTGGTATGAAATAGTTTGGGAACCTCTTCTCTTGCCTATCTGTCTGCCTAGATTCTGTACTTTGCCATTAAAACAGAGAAAGTCTTAGAGAAAAGCTGACTCAGATTTTGTTTAAAAGAAATTATTTTATTTATTTCCAGACACGGCAGAGGGCTTCGGGGCCACAGCGCCAGTCTCAAAGCCATGTCATCAGACAACAGCAAAGTTCTTCTTACGCCACGCTTATCCAGGCGGCTAGCTACTGTCACTTCAACAACCACTTCTCCTAGAGAATCCCGAAGTCCCTCTGCATCTCCACTCAAAGAACCTCTGCCTCAGGAGGGCAGAAAAGATGAGAAGGAGGTGGACAGAGAGGATCTTCAGGCAATATGTGAGGAAAGTGCACCCCCCTTCACACCCCCTACCTGCTCACCCAGTATAAGTGCCTCTTCATCTTCATCATCTTCTTCATCGCCGGCCCTGGAGCCTCTGGGTGAGCTGCGCAAGGAGCCCATGAACATCTACAACCTCAATGCTATCATTAGAGACCAGGTAGAAAACCCTCTAACCCTTAACCCTAAACCCCTTTTCATTATTATTATTATCCATCCATCCATCCATCACCTTTTTTATTCACTTTATAACAGCTAGTTTTTTATACCCTTCCATTTATTTTAATGCCCCATCTCCCTGTTCTTTTATCCATTATGTCATTCAAACAAGGTATTTTTTCTTGTATGAATCCATCCTACTTCATTTATAGGTGCCATAGCTTTGTTTGCCAAATTTCAGATCATTTCAAATGTTTCCTATGAAGTAATATACATAATGATATGATACAAAACAATTCGATATTATATGTTGGTATTATATCTTATTTACAATCATAAATATGTATCAGTCATCAATCACGAATCAATACTATTAGTTACGTTACAAAACAAAACAATAAAATATAATATGACACGATACGATATACGATGTATTGTATAAATACAATATGACATAATCAGAATCAGCTTTATTGTCATTCACATACAACATCAAAGATGCAATGCAGAATGAAATTGCAATTAAGAACACTCCGTTCAGGAAAAAAATGCATAACAAACATGGTGGAGAATGGATGATCAGGTCTTGCTCAAACACGGTCGCGCTACCTTTTGTAGTTTGGAAGAAAAAAAAACAATAGGATAGGTCAGTTTAAAAAAGATGCTCTGATCCTATATTTACTCATAAATGCAGAATAATATGCACAAAAAAATGACTCGCTAAAGCAAGGCAGCTGGGGAGGGGTTGGGGCTGGGGATCAAACACATGGTGGGTGCGGGATTCAGTGGAGCCGGTGACATTCCTGGTTAATACTCTGTGCTGGAACCAATCCAAGACCAGGACCTGCCAGAGTCCAGAGACAGATCTTATCCTCCCAAGCTCAGTCCCAGAGTTCAGGATTTCCCCTTTCTCCATCACCACAGCCTTCAGACTYATCCTCGCGGATGATACGGGGATAGGGACTGGGGACTAAATCCTTTGTTGACATATCATCCAGGGAAGTTTTGAAAACTGCCGACTGACCAAGACCAGCAGCTGCTGGGATCCGAAAGATAAACACAATTGTTTTGGGACAAGCGGCCTTGAATTTCTTGCCGCTTTACAGTCTTAACTACATCTATGTAATGGCGAAAAAATGCAGAATGTTCCAAATTTCATCACCTCTTACGTCTGAAATTTCACCCAGGTGTAATCCTACGTCTCATGGGCACGCTGCTGAACTGCGATTCTCATCAGAATCACATCCAGTTTGTGACTTAATTCCCCCTGCATCTGAGGCTGTGTGTTATCAGTACAGGAGATTCCATCCGTGGTTCCTGACAACCTCTCACAGGCCCGCCGATCAGCAGAAATCCAGTTATCATAAATCCAAATATGTTCAAATCTTCCACGTCTTCAATGGAAAGCGGTGCCAAACAGATCAGGTTCCAGCCCTAAGAACCAGTGACCCGACCAGCAGCAACCATTCCACTGGGACAGCTACGTTCCCCACGTTCCAATCTCAGTGTGGAAAAAATAGTGTCAATTGCATTCAGAGTCCAGTTGACTAAATCCATAATTCCTTTTGTTTTTCYGATGATAGGTAGAAGAAAGGCTTGAAAAAGCTGCGAAGCAGGAAGGAGGGACAGGTTCGAGAGAGAGCAAAAAGCGTCCGACTCCTTTGAAGGCCAAGCAGAAAGATAATACAATACATGTTACAGTACAGATATAGCAAAATGCATTATCATACAGTTCGATGGTATATTTTACAATACGATACTACGCTACTACACAACACGATACAATGTAGTACATAGTACATAATACAATACAATATAATATAAAAAATGACCCAATACAATGTAGTACACTGTATCGTAATAAATACAATATTATTTGATATGTTATGATATATTAAAATATATGATATGTGGGAGGCTGTGGCGGACTGAATAGGGGAGTTGTCCTATCTTTGATCTTCCATTCCAGCCGTCTCAGTTATTGTGTCCTTGGGCAAGACATCTGCCTTGCCTACTGATGATGGTCAGAGGGTCTGGTTGAGTCATTGCATGGCAGCCTTGCCTCTCTCAGTGTGCCCCAGGGCAGCTGTGGCTACAATGTAGCTTACCATCAACAGTGTGTGAATGACTGTAGTGTAAAGCACTTTGGGGTCTGATGGGGCTTGATAAAGTGCTATATAAGTTCAGTCCATTTACTATTTCTTTTTATTTTTATTGTTCCCTTTTTTATTTTTTTGCTTTAAGCTTTTCCAAAATGAAGTTCAGCTTCTATCCTCCTTCTTCTGTTGTTATAAACCCTCCAACTATATTCTCCTCGTGTCTTTTAGTTGAAGTACCTCCAGCGAGCAGTAGACAGATCCTTACAGCTCTCCAGGCAGAGAGCTGCAGCAAGGGAAGTGGCCCCTTTTCTGGACAAGGATAAGGAGAGCTGCATTGAAGAGATCCTAAAGCTCAAGTCCTTACTCAGCAGCAAGAGAGAGCAAATAGCTACTCTTAGATTGGTCCTCAAGGCCAACAAACAGGTGAGAAGAAAAACTTGCTTTTGTCATGAATGAAGGGCTGAAGAAAACTGACCAGTCTAGTATAAAAAGGTTTATGTCATGAAAATGATGTAGCTCTAAGACAGGGGTTCTTAACCTTTTTGACCTCGGGGCCCAATTTATTGAACATAAAGTGGCATGAGGCCCAGTCAGACATTACTAATGTATGGATCGAAATGATAATTATTCTAAATCTTGGTTTAATTTTTATTGTATTTACATCATAACTAACATAAGTAAATTAAATACACTTACAGTTTAAAAGTAAAACTCCTGTCAAATAATCACAAGACATGATTATGACAAACATTTTTATATTGTAACCTGCCCATATTTGTTCTTTTGAGGCCCTGAATTGTGGGCCGCAGCCCATGGGTTAAGAATCTCTGG